TTGGTTGGGAAGCACCAAGTTCTGTAGAGGATCCAAATCACCTGCCTGTTGGGATTCATCTCGGCGGCTCCTCTGGCGCCGCGCCGGCCGCACGGGAATTCAAACCTCAGCGCCGCGCTCGCGGGTACGGGGGGGGAAAAGGCGAGTAGGAAGGAAGCAAAAATGTTCAATTTTAGTTAAAACATTAAAATCAAGGTGAATAAAACCAAATCCAACCAGGGAGAGGAAGTGTGGGTCACCCCAGAGCCGCTCCAGACGAGCGTCGGCAGCACCGCGACACCCCAAACCCCGACGGCTGCTCCTCGTGTCCCTCAAAAATCGGGAGCAAAGACCTTAAATCTGCTCTTTTAATCTCTTTTTAGGTGTCTTTTAATATCTTTTTAGATCTCTTTTAATATCTTTTTTAGGTCTCTTTTAATTTCTTTTTAAGTCTCTTTTAATCTCTTTTAAAGTCTCTTCTAATATCTTTTTAGAGCCCTTTTATTATCTTTTTAGGTCCCTTTCAATATATTATTAGATCTTTTTAAATATCTTTTTAGGTCCCTTTCAATATCTTTTTGGGTCTCTTTTAATCTCTTTTTAGGTCCCTTTTATTATATTTTTATGTCTCTTTTAATCTCTTTTTAGGTCCCTTTTATTATATTTTTATGTCTCTTTTAATCTCTTTTTGGGTCTCTTTTTAATATCTTTTTGGGTCTCTTTTAATCTCTTTTTAGGTCCCTTTTATTATATTTTTATGTCTCTTTTAATCTCTTTTTGGGTCTCTTTTTAATATCTTTTTGGGTCTCTTTTAATCTCTTTTTAGGTCCCTTTTATTATATTTTTATGTCTCTTTTAATCTCTTTTTGGGTCTCTTTTTAATATCTTTTTGGGTCTCTTTTAATCTCTTTTTAGGTCCCTTTTATTATATTTTTATGTCTCTTTTAATCTCTTTTTGGGTCTCTTTTTAATATCTTTTTGGGTCTCTTTTAATCTCTTTTTAGGTCCCTTTTATTATATTTTTATGTCTCTTTTAATCTCTTTTTGGGTCTCTTTTTAATATCTTTTTGGGTCTCTTTTAATCTCTTTTTAGGTCCCTTTTATTATATTTTTATGTCTCTTTTAATCTCTTTTTGGGTCTCTTTTTAATATCTTTTTGGGTCTCTTTTAATCTCTTTTTAGGTCCCTTTTATTATATTTTTATGTCTCTTTTAATCTCTTTTTAGGTCCCTTTTATTATATTTTTATGTCTCTTTTAATCTCTTTTTAGGTCTCTTTTAATCTCTTTTTAGGTCTCTTTTAATCTCTTTTTAGGTCTCTTTTAATCTCTTTTTAGGTCTCTTTTAATCTCTTTTTAGGTCTCTTTTAATCTCTTTTTAGGTCTCTTTTAATCTCTTTTTATGTCTCTTTTAATCTCTTTTTGGGTCCCTTTTATTATCTTTTTAGATCTCTTAATAACTTTTTAGATCCTTTTTAATATCTTTTTAGGTCCCTTTCAATATCTTTTTGGGTCCCTTTTAATCTCTTTTTGGTTCTCTTTTTCATCTCTTTTTAGGTCCCTTTTAATATCTTTTTAGGTCCTTTTTAATATCTTTTTAAGTCTCTCTTAATCTCTTTTTAGGTCCCTTTTATTATATTTTTAGGTCTCTTTTAATCTCTTTTTAGATCTCTTTTAATCTCTTTTTGGGTCTCTTTTTAATCTCTTTTTAGGTCCCTTTTATTATCTTTTTAGATCTCTTTTAATCTCTTTTTAGGTGTCTTTTAATATATTTTTAGATCCTTTTAATATCTCTTTAGATCTCTTTTAATACCTTTTCAGGTCCTTTTCACACGGCAGCGACCGAAACGAACCGCGCGACGTCCCCGATTCCAACCCGAAAGAATCATCAGCAAAATTCATGTGCAAAATTCCCCCTCAAAAAAAAAAAAAAAAAGCACCTGATTGATCGGTCCAGAAAAGGTAAAAAAAATCAAAAAAGGTTAAAAAAAATCAAAAAAGGTTAAAAAAAATTCAAAAAAGGTTAAAAAAAATCAAAAAAGGTTAAAAAAAAAATCAAAAAAGGTTAAAAAAAATCAAAAAAAGGTTAAAAAAAATCCAAAAAAGGTTAAAAAAAATCAAAAAAGGTTAAAAAAAATTCAAAAAAGGTAAAAGAAAATCAAAAAAGGTTAAAAAAAATTCAAAAAAGGTTAAAAAAAATTCAAAAAAGGTAAAAAAAAAATCAAAAAAGGTAAAAAAAAAATCAAAAAAGGTTAAAAAAAATTCAAAAAAGGTTAAAAAAAATCAAAAAAGGTTTAAAAAATTTAAAAATCCTAAGTTTTGTGCCACACCCAAGCGCCACGATCCCACGTGGAGCCGGAAGGTCACCACGGGACGGTCCTACGAGGCAGGGAGTTTCTCCACGGGGATGGTCAGGTCCTTGGCCGCCGACTCGTCCAGGAACCAGCGGAGCCGCCCGGAGCGCGGCCGGACGCGCGCGGCAGGAAGAGGATTTTCCTCGTCGTCCTCCAAAATGCGCTGTTGGGAGAGAGGAAAGGGCTCAGACGGCACCTGCAACGCTGCAGAATGGGCTGAAATCGCTTGTTTTACCCCCAAACCCCAAACGTGGGGGATTTTCCATGGAAAAGAGGAAGGATTTGGGTTCAAACCTTGAGGACGGCGGCTTTGCCCTCCCCTGTCACCACGAAGACGACGGAGCGCGCGGCGTTCAGCACCGGCAGCGTCAGCGTGATGCGCCGCGGCGGCGGCTTCGGGGAGTCGGTGATGGCGGCGACGATGCGCTCCTTCTCCTGGGGGGTGGAGATGAAAAATGGGGAAAAATGGGGAAAAGGAAACAAAATGGGGAAAAAAAAGCATGAAAAGAATGGAAAAGAAACATGAAAAAATGGAAAAAACGGGAAAAAATGAATAAAAACCATGAAAAATTGGAAAAAACAGGAAAAAATGAGGAAAAAAACCATGAAAAATTGGAAAAAAACATAAAAAAAAAGAAAAAATGAAAAATGAAAAAAAAACATTAAAAAATGGAAAAAAACACGAAAAAATGAATAAAGAAAACATTAAAAATGAAAAAAACACGAAAAAATGAATAAAAACCCATGAAAAAATGGAAAAAACACGAAAAAATGAATAAAAACCCATGAAAAAATGGAAAAAACACGAAAAAATGAATAAAAACCCATGAAAAAATGGAAAAAACACGAAAAAATGAATAAAAACCCATGAAAAAATGGAAAAAACACGAAAAAATGAATAAAAACCCATGAAAAAATGGAAAAAACACGAAAAAATGAATAAAAAAAAATGAAAAAATCATGAAAAATGAAAAAACACGAAAAAATGAATAAAAAACTATGAAAAATGGAAAAAAAATTTAAAAATGAAATAAAATGAAAAAAAACATGAAAAAAATAAATAAAAAATCCATGAAAAATTGGAAAAAACATTAAAAAATGAAAAAACCATGAAAAAATGAATAAAAAACATGAAAAATTGGGAAAAAAAATTAAAAATTTAAAAAAACATGAAAAAACCCATGAAAAAATGGAAAAAACACGAAAAAATGATAAAAAAACCCATGAAAATATTGAAAAAACATGAAAAAAAAGAAAAAAACGTGAAAAAATGAAAAAAAATCCATGAAAAAATGGAAAAAAAATTTTTAAATGAAAAAAAATTAAAAAATGAAAAAACATTAAAAAATGAATAAAAAACCATGAAAAAATGAAAAAAAATCCCTATGAAAAAATGGAAAAATATTTAAAAATTAAAAAAACACAAAAAATGAAAAAAAAAAAATAAAAAATTAAAAAAAATGAAAAAATGGGAAAAACATTTTAAAAAGGAGCTTTCCACCAACATCTCCTTGTGCTCTCATTTGCACAAAAAAAAGAAAAAAAAAGGGAAAAAAAATTAAAAAATGAAAAAAAAAAAAAGAAAAATGAAAAAAACCAACCATGAAAAAATGAAAAAAACCCCAAAAGAAGCCGTGACCCCCGCGGAGGTCAGAGCTCACCTGGAGCAGGGGGTGTCCGGGGAAGAGCGAAGCCGTGTGTCCGTCCGGACCGATCCCCAGCAGCAGCAGATCAAACACCGGGACGTCCTCACCCGGGAACGCCTGGGGAGAGACCGGG